GACTCCTTGTAAAGCCAAAACCTTGTTATATTATCCGAAATCTAGCAAAAGAATATTAAGGAAAATACATAAAATACTGTTTAAAGATGGTCATGAAAGAAGTAAGTTTTGATAAAAACTTTGGCGTTATAATTCCAAAGAACTTGCTTCAACTTCCAAGGCCTTATCAAAGATACTAAATATTAATAACATTAAAAAGATCGGTAGTTAGTCGAAATACTAAACAATTTTTCTTTTGCTTCCTCATAAGAATAGTTTTATTTTCAGTATTATAACTATCTTTAAAATAAAATAAATAAAAAAAAAAAAAAAAAAAAAAAAATTAATAAATAAATAAATAAAAATAATATTAAATAATAATGATTTGGTGGAATGGTTCATCAGTATATAAGTTTTCATCGCAAAAGCGTTTCAGGTATATGCTCAAAATGAAAGTTAAATGTTATCATTAACAAAACACTATGTACATCTTACAGAATGATTCATTCTACTCTAAACATCTACATAAGTTATATCTTCGAACAAGTAAATGAAATATAATTTATGATTAAACGAACTTACAAGTGAAGTTCGATCATAATTATATGAATAACTTGTTCGAAGATATATACTCCAACCCTTTTTTATTTTATATAATAGTAACAATATACATATAAGTTACAAATATTTGGAAATTTAAAACTAATCCCCCCCTAAAATCAAAATGGATAAATAAGAACAATTTAATAATTTAATAAACTAAATAAATAAAAATAAATCAATAAGCAAAATAAATAACACATATTTATATTATGATTGTATATAGTATTACAATACATATATTGTATAAATATATAGATATATCTATATATACACAGATATGTAATAATAATTAATAATTATTAATTATTATTAGTTGATTATGCCTTCTCTAAACTAAATGAAAGGTAGAGAGTAGGTAGTAAGAGATATAAAAAGGAGAGAGAGAGGGAGTGAGTTTTTCTCTTTCTATCTCTGAACAGTGGCGTCATCCGACAACAAGTTGCGGTACTACTACATAAGTTATATCTTCGAACAAGTTATTCATATAATTATGATCGAACTTCACTTGTAAGTTCGTTTAATCATAAAAATTACAGTATTTCCTCCAATGTATGCACATATCCATATGTCTGCGCACGCCTTTGGTTCAAAAATGCCAATAAAGGCTTGTGATATTTTAGTTTTTTTAACTGATAGTTTTATATTTTAATTTAACAATATTTTATTGTAATTAAAAAAACGAAAGATTTGTAATTTTAGAGCGACAATTTACATTCGCTTAACGGCGTTGGAAGGTCTGTGAAATTTTAAGGTTACAGTTATCGCCCGACAAAATACGGCACTGGCTGATTTAAATGACGTGAAATAGGTAAATAAACATTTTTCAACCACTTTTTCTCTAAACACAGACACTTTTTACAAAATAAGCCAACGTACAATGGGTAAGAATCTTCTTAATAACCTAAATTCAAAAGATTGTTTAAATTCATGCAGAAACGCGGTTGTAAAATTGTAAAATTGGAAATGATTGGAAAGTAATGTAATGACAGACAACAAGAAGCGGTTTACTGCCAGTCACCAGAAGAGGGCAGAAGCATGCAGAGAGCACAATGTTCCAGCTGTTATATTCTTAGCATTATATCACTTTCAAATTTTACATTTTACAACCGCGTTTCTGCATGAATCTAAACAATCTTTTGAATTTAGATAATTAAGAAGATTCTTACCCATTGTACGTTGGCTTATTTTGTAAAAAGTGTCTGTGTTTAGAGAAAAAGTGGTTGAAAAATGTTTATTTACCTATTTCACGTCATTTAAATCAGTCAGTGCCGTATTTTGTCGGGCGATAATTGTAACCTACAAATTTTACAGACCTTCCAAGGCCGTTAACAAAATTAAAAAGTGCATTACCCACTGATCTCTATATATAACTTGATGGGCGACTGTATCTAAAACTGCAAAATATTAGAAGACCGGAAACGCCACATTTTAGATGCCCACTTTTACACAAATGGCGGAAATTTTTAAATATAAAAGTGAGATTGATATACGTTTTGCTGTATAGAAAAGTACTTAACTGATTAGCAAATTTTTTAAATTTAATAATTAATTAACCGTCAATTACTTTCTTAATTAAATAATTTATTATTCACTTATTTTATTTTAAAAACTGATTAATTAATATAGTAACAGAACTTTTAGTATTCAAACATTATATAAACTCAAATATTATTGAAATAATATTTTTATTTTTAAATAATAATTGATTAAAAACAATATTTTTTTAATTTGGTAAGGAAACTAAAATTATTCAGCATTACACTATTATGTGTTTAACAATACGCAAAAGTGTGTAAAATATTCTACGCAAAAAGGAAACAAAATATTACCTAAAAATATACACTTCAATAATATGTATTTACTGTTTAAATATGTACTTTCATGTGAAAAGAAACACCCTTTGCTTCTTTTTTTCCACAATATAAACAAATTAACACCTTGTCTGTGTTTTATATCACAAAAGTTAAATTAAAATTATTAAAGCACTTGAGATGTCAAAACATTGGAAACACACACACACACTATATCAAAAGCACACTCACACGGCAACTCACACAATCAAAGTCGCTCTACGCTGTTACACCGGCATCTAAAGCGTGGCGCGTAGAGGGTTTCAATTATTTTCACACCGGAAGCCACTTTTCTACGCAGCAATCGCCCATCCAGTTAATATAGAGATCAGTGGCATTATCATTTCAGTTTTTAATTTATAGATTAATATTGAAATAATTGTCTGAATTTAAAACTATTTTATTGTAAATAAAATAATAAACCTTTATAATTTTAGAGCGACCATTTTAAATCTGCTTTGAAAAACTTTAATGTTTACATAATATGACTGCTTCCAATGTTCTCTACGTAAAATAAAAAATTTTACTTTTAATTAAATTTAAAAATTATTTCTTTTTTAACCAACAACTTTTAAATAACAATTCAATTATTAATTGTTTTAAATTATTAAATAAATTAAAATATTAATAATTAATTTTTTTGAATCGATTTTTTATACGATTCTTTGCGAATCGAATATTTTGAGGTCGATTTTTTAAAGAATCGAATCTACTCGTTTCGATTCCGATTCGATTCAAAAATCGATATTTTTGAAAAAATCGAACATCCCTATTACTAGACTATTCGACAATGATGCCAACGTTTGCAAAAAAAAGTTTTCAGATTGCAACGTTGCCATGTTTTTCAGTTGATTAAAAAGTTTCTTAATTAATAAATTACAATAAAAAAAATCATTATATAGCATAATATGCTATATTTTAACTAATTGAACATTTTGAAAACATATTTACAGCCTATTTCCTAATAGATTAGAAATTATTTTTTAGTAACTTTTATTTTCTTAGGTTATAAACTCGTACATTCACGACCAAAAATTTCATTCAGCATTGTTAAGAAATATTAATTTTTAAAAAAAAAACATTTTAATTATTATACAGTCAGGTCCCCATACTGTTAGATTCCAAACTGTTATGTCCTCAGTAGTGTTATGTTTTTGCATAACCTCCAAATTCAGAAGTGTTAGGTGACGTCACGTTACGTCACCAATTTTCAGGGCCGTATTCTTAAGCCCAAAGAAAAGGGGGCATATACTTCTAGGCCAAACTTGAGGTGTATATATTTACGTTCCTGAAAGGTGCGCAGTAGACATACTTTGAGCACATAACAGAGCTGAGTCTGGAGGAGTGGGAAATTTCTAGAAATGTAACAGTATGGGGACCCGACTGTATAATTGATATTTTTTAGACATATTTAATTACTATTTTATTCATTCGCAACATTTAGACATTCCTATATTGAATACTTTTAGAAATATATATTTTCCCTAAATGTCATAAACTTTTTGCCCGATTCACCGTCCAGTTCCTCCTTAAAAGTTTACATAAAAATTTTATAAGTAATAATAATAATAATAATAATAATAATAATAATAATAATAATATATGGGCAATTTTATTTCAAAAATATGTTCTATTTATTCTGTATAGGGGGCATTCTATTTCAAAGTGACCCACCTCATAAACAATTGTCATTGTAAGGCAAATTTTACCTTCGAAAATTAGAGAAATTTTTCTTTTAAAACCACTAATAGTAAATAAAGTTTGGCTTTAATTAGTAGGAGAAATAATTATTTAAAAATTACCTTACAATGACAATTGTTTATGAGGTGGGTCACTTTGAAATAGAATGCGCCATAGAAAAAAATCTTGTAAGAAGAGATGACTAAAAGAAATTTAATTTCTTGGTCGAACTAAATTCCCGAATTTAAAACTAAACTATTTTTCACGAATTTTCAGGTAGCTAAACACCTTAGTTTTATTAAAAAATTGTAATTGAGAAATAGATTTCTACTTTTTATATGAGTAACTTATTTTCTTTTTCAAAAAAAAAATAAATAAAGCGTCCAAAAAACGCTTTAAAATTTACTATATAAAGATCAAAATCATTTAATTTTTGTAGAAATTATATCAATTTGAATACAAAAATGTCCCTTAACATTTAATTTTTTTGATTAGATCAGTTCACATGAAATTGATGATAATTAGGTGCCAGTTTTAGCTTCAGATTTTCCTTCACTGAGAGACCTTTGGGTCAGCAGCAGACTTTCGATAGGCTGCTACTGACCATTTTGGAGGAACGCTACAGGACTATACTTTTGGGTTGCTGCGGTAAAATCTTGGGCACGTGACAGTCCCAAAGTTGTTCAGCTGCAAACCAAAGGCGGCATTCCCACTACTTCGGTGAGCTGCTCACCAACATTTGGGACTGTCACGCGCCCAAGATTTTACCGCAGCGCACCAAAACCATAGTGGAGCTGCTGTCACATACGTTGTTCCGCTACAGTCCCAAAGGTCTCTCAGTGTTAAAAAGTAAATTTATTTTGTATTTTCTGTTTAACGATATCTTACCTTAATATTATATTATGTAAGCTGTGATTGGCCTTGATGTTATCTGTGTCTAGTCTATGATTTCTCTTAATTTTAAGTGAAGTGGTATCCAAGTAAACGACGAGGTCTAATCCAAAATGAAAGGCAGTCCACCTCCAAACATGTTCACCTGGTCTGTCTACGCATCTGCCGCAACGGAAGCACTCTTTTGAAAATTCCTCGTCACTTATCGATTTTGGTCTAGGAAAGGAGTTGTTATTATTAAATATTTATATAAAAGTATCAAGAAAATTATTAAAAGCAACTTTTCCTACCCTCTGTCTTTGTTGGCATCAATGCGCAACAGATGTAACCACTGTTCTTTATAAGCGTCGTACAGCCACTCTTGCGGTATTAGATTATCACTATTTAGAATATTTACGTCTTGATCATGTAATAACAGATATTTGTATCTTAATGCTTTAAATGGAGTGATGTAATTTTTCCCATCTTCCGTCCCTAAAAAAGGCTCCGTCCATGTGTGATTCTTAAAGAATTCATCAATTTGCACCGTTTCCTCTTTATTACTAATTTGCACAAACAGCCTGAAAATAAAAAATTATTATAATCATTATTCTAAAGTACATAATACGGGGTTTTATCCAATCATTCACCATATTAATGGTGAGTTCTCGGATAACGTTAAGACATAATGTCGGTTTCGTGAAAGCATGGACCGAAAAATTCTTAAATATTAACATTCAATAACATAAGCTTCTCTAGTCAGGCGGAGAGAATTGTGTTCGCAAAATGCGCTTTGTTTGTTATGAAGCAGAACCGAAGTTTAAACACGCGTGATTATTTACCTTCATAAAAATTATTTTAATCAGCCCATACACTGAAAAAAATCTAGTAGAAAAATATAACTACCATTATGTACTTGAGTAGAAAGTAGTTAAATTAATTACTTTTTTAGTTATCGTAACTATGTTTGTATGATTTTTTTAATGCTTTTACTATTTTTTATGTAGTTAAAGAATAATAGTTCAGTTGACTAAAAAACTAGTTAAATTACAAAAACTACAAAATCTGATTACACCAACTACATTCTTAGTTTTTTTAACTATACTTTTTGGTATACTAGAAATTTTGGTATTTGAGTGTAGATAAATGAACAAGAGGCATTCTATTTCAAACCGATTCAACAACAAAAAACGATCGCGAGAAGAGTATTTTTTAAGTGAATTTTATTCTTTAAAAGAGAATTAATGATAATAAGTTATACTCTAATTCGAAAGAGACCTAAACGAACTTTCCATTTATATAATTATATTTTTCAAAATTTTTTTAATTTCGTAGTGAAATTCCTCTTTGAAATATAAAACTTATAATATCTGAAAACATCCACTCTTCGATTTTATTAAGATTTATATGAAATCGAAAGTTTACGTTTTCTAGTGTCTTGTCCCTTTTGTATTATTATGGATATTTTAGAGCAATTACACATAAAAATAAAAACTGTGTTATTGAAAAATTTCACATAAAGTTATTAACTTTTTCTAAATGTGTAAAATTTTTCAAAAAAATATTTTATTTTTATTTTTATGTGTAATTCCACTAAAATGTAAATAACAAAATAAAAGTAACTGCAAACTAGAAGAGCTAAGCTTTCTTTCCACATAAGTTTTGATAAAATTAAAAAGGAACGTGTTTTGAGATATATGAAGAGTTTTATATATCAAACAGGAATTTCTCTACGAAATTGTAAGAAATTTTAAAGAATAAGAAGATGAAGAGAAAGTTTTTTTAATTCTCTTTCGGATTAGTTTATAACATATTACCAATAATTTGATTTTTATAAAATAAAATCTACTTCAAAAGGGAGTCGTTGAAAGTGAATGAAACTTTCATTGTTGAAAGGGTTTGAAATAGAATGCCTCACACATTTTGTTTATTGCCATTTCAGGATTATTTGTTGTCCAAACCGATATTTTATGCAAAAATAAAATCAATTTTTATAGCAATGTAGAGGCAAAAGTCTGATATTTATTATTGCATTTATTTTTTATGTCTGGTCTTTATCCCAAGTAGAAATGTCCGGAGTTAGGACGGAGTTAAACACCGACATGGTACTGACTCAGTACTGACCGTCGGTACTGACTTTCGGAACCCGATCAGTACTGGGAGTATACTGACTCCAAAACCGAATCAGTACTATGTCGGAGTTAGAAAAGTTCTAAAATCAGTACTGGCAGAAAACTGGCTTAACACTAAATCAGTACTGCGAAGGAGTTAAAAAAACAATCAAAATTTGTTATAATGTAATTAAACATTAAACATCGTTTTATTTATTAACAATTAAAATATTTGCAAAGATTTGTAAAAACATTATTCATCAACAATAATATCAAACATTTTATTAATTTATTATTAACTAATAGATATATTTTAATAATATAATAATAAATTATTATTAATTAATTATTTTTAGAATTATTACGTATTATTAATAATAAAAAAAATTTTATTTTTTAAAGCTGTATATGAGGCATTCTTTCTCAAGTGGGCCACCCCTTCTCTCCATTTCAAATTTAATCCAAAAATCTTTTATAATAGCTCAAATTAAAGGTAAATATGTCAGCTTTTCAATGCCGTTGGGCCCTTTTTGAAATATTAATTTCCTAATGAACTATATATAATTTAATGACAAAAAACACTATGACCAATTCTTTTTCATATTAAAAAAAGAAGAAAAACCCAATTTTAAAAATGCTACAGGGCCTACAACATTAAATTATATGATAAATTAACAAAATTTCATATTATTTCCTAAAATTAAAGATGGCAAATCTAATATGGCGCCCAAAATTAGAAAAATTTATAATTTTTGTTCAAACTCACCATAAAGGGGTTTTTGGGATCGCTGATGACGAATTTGGTGTTAGTTTCTTAAAATTCAAAATGGCGAATCCAAAATGTCGGACTTAGAAATTAAAAATCAATCGAATTTGACTAAAATTTGTTATTTGAGGGTTTTTGGGATCGCTGATGACGAATTTGGTGTTTATATTTCAAAATTCAAAATGGCGAATTCAAAATGGCGGACTTTAAAATTAATCGGATTTGCCTAAAATTTGTTATTTGGGGGTTTTTGGGATCGCTGTTGACGAATTTGGTGTTTGTGTTTCAAAATTCAAAATGGCGGACCTAAAAAATTAAAAATCAATCCGCTTTGCCTAAAACCTGTTTTTCGGGTGTTTTTGAGATCGCTGATAACGAATTTGATGTCTATGATTAGGAATTTGATGTCAGCTTTTGAGAATTAAATACAAATTGGACAAATTATCGTTATTTATTTATTTAAAAATCTAAGTTCTTTAGGGTTATTTGAGTATCGCTTTATTCATAATAATTTCTATACAAAACATAAAAATCAGCAGCAATCACATAGCTGGCAATTAATATTTCAGCGTTATTGCATTCAAAATATCGAATTTCTAATACTCAATATAGAATCGGCAATCCCAAAAATATCACAGTAATGAATTTTTAGCAAATCTGATTAATGTTTCATATTACGTTAACTATATTAGATCCATTATATTGAATTCTGAAAAGCTGCCATCAAATTCCTAACCATAGACATCAAATTCGTAATCAGCGATCTCAAAAACTCCCGAAAAACAAATTTTAGGCAAAACCGATTGCTTTTTAAATTTTTAAGTCCGCCATTTTGGATCTACCATTTTGAATTTTGAGAATCTGACATCAAATTCGTAATCAGCGATCTCAAAAACCCCCAAATAACAAATTTTAGGCAAATCTGATTAATTTTTAATTTTTAAGTCCGCCATTTTGGATTCGCCATCTTGAATTTTGAAAAACTAACACCAAATTCGTCATCAGCGATCCCAAAAACCCCCAAATAACAAATTTGAGACAAATCCGATTAATTTTTAATTTCTAAGTCCGCCATTTTTGATTCGCCATTTTGAATTTTGAAAAACTAACACCAAATTCGTCATCAGCGATCCCAATCACCTTTTTATGGTGAGTTTGAACAAAAATTATACATTTTTTAAATTTTGGGCGCCATATTGGATTCGCCATCTTTAATTTTAGGAAATAATATGAAATTTTGTTAATTTATCATATAATTTAATGTTGTAGGCCCTGTAGCATTTTTAAAATTGGGTTTTTCTTCTTTTTTTAATATGAAAAAGAATTGTTCATAGTGTTTTTTGTCATTAAATTATATATAGTTTATTTGGAGATTAATATTTCAAAAAGGGCCCAACGGCATTGAAAAGCTGACATTTTTACCTTTAATTTGAGCTATTATAAAAGATTTTTGGATTAAATTTGAAATGGAGAGAAGGGGTGGCCCACTTGAGAAAGAATGCCTCATATATTTTTATTTATTTATTTAACAAAAATTTTTCTTAAATAAATTTTTTTTTATTATTATTTTAATAAATAATTAGATTATAAATAATAAATAAATAATTATATTAATAATTTTTACCATATTATTATGATGTATCTATTAATTACTACATAATGACTTGATAAAATGTATATAAAGATATATGTATAATAATTTTTCTTGAAATAAATATAATATGCAGTGGATTTATTATTAAAGCACTGTATATATCGGTCCCACAATTCAAAAGGAAGTTTATGCGAGATAACTCCCGAGCTTGCGTGGCTATGCGGTATGTGTATTCGACTTGCGTCCTCGAGGTCTAGGGTTCGGTCCCCCGTGCGTGCGATATTTTTCCGTCTTAGTTTTAAGTGTTTTGTGTATAATTCTTAACAGTGTTACATAAAGTATAAGTTTAAATAATTAATAACCAGTAATAATAATAATTTAGTCATTAATTTAAATAAATAAGATTTAAATAAATAATGAAAAAATAAGAAAAATATTTTTTTAAAACTTATTTTAATAAAAGGAATTCTAATAATTAATTAATAATAATTAATACTAATAATAATTATTAGTATTCAATAAATTACTCCCCATGCTTTAATAATTAAATAAGGAGCTTATACTGACCGCCGGTAAAAATCAGTACTGGACAGCGTTACCAGCCAGGGTTTTCCCAGTACTGACTTAGTACTGGAGTCAGTACTGCAATACTGGCAGTCAGTACAAGATCAGTACTATGCCAGTATTACATTTCTACTTGGGTATAGACGTATTTTTGCGGTTGTAGATTATGCAGCCGAAATCAGAAAATGGTGATTTTACAGCTTGAAGGTGTCAAAAAAGCAAATAAATAGTAAAAATTGCAAAAACTTCTGTCTGTTCGCGCTCTCGAGCCTTAATAAGCGCCTAGATTGTCCCCCCTTCCTATAAACATACATGAATTGTGATTGTGCAGATTATGTGTTATTGGGTTCGCCAAGCATCGGTTTTCAATATTGGTCACTTTATCTACCTGTACAGGCGCATACTAAGTTCTCCTTATAACCGAGCGGTCAATAAAGTGTACTTTAATGACCGCTGCGCACAGGTCAATAAAGAACGCATTATTGCCCCAGGGTAATAATGGCCACTTTATTGACCAGCTGGGTTATATGGAGGAACTTAGTACCT